AACCACTGGGTGGAGCACAGTCACAGGATGGTGTCACAGCAAAGCCCCAAGACTTTTGAAAGACACAACACTGGGTTCATCTCTTATGAATTATGGATTTCAGCTAAAGATGGAAAAAGGCTTCAGCAGCAGCAGCAGCAATTATCCCCCTCTCGAGGAGGAGGTGTGCACGTGGAAGGAAGAGGTGTGCATGTGGCCGTCCCGATCGTCTCCAGCCACAGAAGCGCGATGACCGAGGAAATTTAGGTCAGCACTTTAATTAAAGCCCCAGTGGATGGAGGAGAAGAGGTGAAGGGTGAACTGTAGGGTGTCTGTGAGCTCTCCTGACGTGAACGTCTTTCGAATTTTAAATATTTACAGCGTGTGTTTGTTTGAGGCTCATTAAACACTCTGGTTAGAACTGGGTCAGTCTGTCAATGAAGGTTCTAAATGTTCCTAGAAAAAGTTTTTTTTTTTTAAAGGGACAGAGACAGAACTTTTTTCTATCTGGGCTCCAAGTTTCTGGAATCATCTTTGACACTTTGGACTGAAACCAATGGACTCAAGAAAACTGTCAAGAAAAAGTCCTTAATGAAGACCGACCTTTTTTACTTCAGTGACTGGACTCAGATCCTGTTGATGAACTTGTTTGTGTATTTTAAAGAAAGGAACATGAAGAAAAATAATTGATTTATAATGTATTTCTTTGTATATTTATTTATACACTTGTGTATATATATACAGTATATACACACACACAGATATATATATATATATATATTACTACTATGATTAATTCATAACTCAAATGTACTCCTGTGGATAGTTCTCTTTTTGGTGATTTCAGTAAACACAACAGTTTCCCAATTGGGATTAATAAAATCAAAATTTAATCAAATCTTTCTGTGTGTGTATACTATATTTGCATGTATATGTGTGTGTGTATATATATGTTGTATCTGTATGTATATACTGTATGTGTGCATATACTGTATCTCTCTGTGTGTGTGTGTGTGTATAAATACACTTATATATTTTTTGTTTTATAAATGTGTGTATGATGTGGGTTTAACATTGTAAGCTTGTTTATTAGAATATATTTATATATCCATTTGTTTAAATGAATGTATTTAAAAAAACCAAATGAATGTTTTTATATTGTTAAATTTGTTTCGACTAAACCATGGACTATTTAAAACACTTTAATTCCAAACTGTCATTTAATGTGTTTATTGTTTCCTTTCTGTAATAGAAGATGTTTTTCTTCCGACAGCAGTTGATAGAATAGATCAATAATAAAAAAAATAAAGAGATAAACTCCGTCACTGAAAGATTAAAATATCTAGTAGAACTAAAGAACTAAATAAAGAAGATACTTTTTCTTGAATTTTTGTTTGTTTTATCTGCTCTTCACTCAGCAGCATGAACTGTGAGTGGTTTCTTTACCAGAGGCCGATCCAATCCTGCAGGACTTTGATTTTCTGTGGATTTATGGATCAGAGCATGTTCACGTAAATGAAGCTCAGGTCAGGGCTGCTGTTATTTCATGACTCAACAAACAGACAGTAAATCTGCTGTGGCCGGTGCGTCCCGGACACGCCGTGAATTAATGAGCAGAGTGACGTCCGCAGTCAGAGGAGAACTCTGCGTT